TAGGTACATTTGATTTATGGTGTCATTTAGTTCTAGGATTTCTTTGTTGAATTTTGTTTGGATGACCTATCCATTGGTAATAGAGGGGTATTAAAGCTTCCCACTACCACTGTGTTGGAGTCTATAGGTGTTTTTTAGTCCTTTAGTATATGTTTGTTGAAATTGGGTATACTGACATTGGGTGCATATAGGTTATTTCCTTTTGATGTACTGCACCTTTTATTAGTATGAAATGTCCTTCTTTATCTTGTTTCACCAATGTAAGTTTGAAGTCTACTTTGTCTTATATAAGTATTGGTACGACTGCCTGTTTTCAGGGCCCTGGGCTTGGTAAATCTTCCAGCCTTTCACCCTAAGCCAGTGTTTATTTCTGTCAATAAGATGGGTCTCTTGTAAACAGCAGATTATTGGATCTTCCTTTTTAATTCAGTTTGCCAAATGGTGTTTTTTGATGGGAGAGTTGGGTCTGTTAACTTCAGTGTTAGTATTGATAAGTTATGTGGTGATTCCTGCCATTTAGTTGTTTTTGTTGTTTAAGGATTTGATTGTGTGCAGTCAAATCAGTGCTACTCTCTGATTGTCTTTACTTTTCCTGTGGTTTCATGCTTCCAGTCCTCTCAAGGTTTTGTTTGCTTTCATCTTGTGTGTGCAGAATACCTTGTAGAATCTTCTGTAGTGGTGGCTTAGTGGTCATATACTGTTTTAGTTTCTGTTTATCGTGAAAGATTTTTATTGCTCCATCAATTTTGAATGATATTTTTACTGGGTAGAGTATCCTAAGGCCAAAGATATTTTCATTCCGTGCCCAAAATACCTTACTCCATGCCCTTCTTGCTTTTAAGGGCACTGAGATTGAGAAATCTGCTGTTATTTTGATGGGTTTAACCTTTTTATGTTATTTGTTTTTTCCTCTCTTACAGCCTTCAATATTCTTTCTCTGTTCTCTGTGCTTGTTGTTTTAATGATAATATGCCATGGGAAGGTTCTATTTGGTCAAGTCTGTTTGGTGTCCTGGAGGCTTCCTATACCTAAATGGGCAAAACTTTCTTGAGATTTGGGAAATTTTCTATTATTATTTTATTGAATGTGTTATGTATCCTTTTGGCTTGCACCTCCTCTCTTTCTTCAATACCCATTATTCTCAGGTTTGGCCTTTTGAGAGTCACTGGGTTCTTGCATATTCCTTTCATTATGCTTGAGTTGTTTGACTAAGATTTCTTCTGTTTTTTGTTAATTTCTATTTTATCTTTGAGCTCTGAGATTCTGTCTTCCACTTGTTCTAGTCTGCTGGAGTGGCCTTCCCCGGTTTTTTGTTTGACTAAAGGGACTTTTTACTTCTTGGATTTCTGTTTGATTCTTTGTTCTGATGTTTTCTCTATCTTTGTTCCACTCCTCTTTGATAATTTCTGTTGCCCTATTTAATTCATGTAGCTCTCTTTTTACAGTGTCCTTTGTTTCACTTTGATGTTTGTTGAAGTTCTCTGAGTTCATTTATTTGTTTCTGTGTCATCTCATGTTCTTTATTTTTGGTGTCTTGAAGTTTCTTGAGTGTATCTTGTACATTCTGGTTAACCATGTGTAGTATCTTCTCCATGAATTTCTCAGTGATTTCTTCCAAGATTTCTTCTTTGAGATTTTTTTTGTGGGCATCACTGGGTTCCTTTGTGACATTTATCATTGTTTTGTTGAGGTCAGGAACTGGATATCCATTTTCTTCATTTGCCACTGGATCCTGCATTGAATTATTTTTTGAGGAGATAGGTTTCCACCCTTCTTCTTCCCATTGCTCCACTTGGTACTGTGTAACTATGTTTTTGGTAAGCTAGTGGGTTTGATTGCCTGATTTCTTTCCCTGATTTAATTTTTGTGTTGTGGCTGACTTAGCTGTTAGCTAGGTTGATATGCTCTATCTGTCCCTGGTCTGGAGGTGTAATTTAGCAATAAGAAATACAAAGGTTCAATGCCAGATCATTTGTTTACATATTATATAGAAAACCCCTTGATGATAATATTTATAAACAGTTGGAGTTGTGGGGGGCAATGGTTATTAGGCTACTTACAGATTTTGGGGAATTGGTAAAATGGTGGCCCTAAAAAGGGCAGAGTGGGAAAAAGGGTGGGTGGGTGGGTTAAGAGGTATGGGGACTGCTGGGTTTTGTGGCCCTTGTGTGTGTTTGGGTGTATTTCTGTTGTGTAGTGGAGGGTACTTGTGTCAAGGATTGCAGGGGGCTGGGTTGTATACAGTTGGTACAGTAGGCTACTCCGCAGGTGGTGAGTGTGTAGGAGAGAGGGGAAGTGTGATGACAGGTTGGGGGAGAATAAAAAGGAGAGGTGAAGACAGGAAAAAGTGGATGAGAAGGGGCAGAAAGAGTAGTTAGGAGGAGAACAATGGATTATAGTACAGGAGAAGGAGGGAAAGTGAAGAGGATGGGAATAGGGATAAGAGAATAGTGATGATGGAGTTAATAATATAGGAATAAAAAAGAAAAAAAAAGAAGCACAATAAAAAACACCAAGCTCAGGAATCACAAAAGTTCAGTCTATTGGTAAAAGTTCTGGAGTTATTCCTTAAGTGTCCAATCCTGGTATTGGCATTCAAGTGGAAGCTCTGCGTGGTTTTACCAAGTGACTGGCTTATGAGTGGTATTTTGTCCTCCTGTTCACAAGATTAATTGGAATTGCGATGTGAGGTAAGACTGCCAATTTGTGCAGGGTGGTCAGAGCTGTTGTTTTCAGCAGGTGGCAGCTGTATTGCCCTTCAGCTGCAGCTCTGTTTGGTCAGCTCCTCCCCCATCAAGGTGGGGCAATTTAGTTTTGAATGCTGCCCTCTGTCCCAGAGATCAACTCCAGGACCTACCTCCTGTCCCGCTTTGGGAGGTTGGCCTGCTGGTCCACCCCCACTCTCAGCATTTGTGCTTTTCCTGATCTCTTCTGAGTGCTGGTGGCTCCTCTGGGAGGCTGGTTTGTTGCTCCACTCCCTCTGTCAGCCTTTATGCCTCTCCTGATCTCTGCTGGGTACTGGCAGCTCCTCTTGTCAGTTGGCTTATTGCCCCACCCTTGCTCTCAGCCTTTGCTTCTTTTGTGCATGTCACTGAGAATTTGGCTCCTTTGTGCCACCCCGAGAGTTCAGCACTGAGAGTTTGGCTTTTTGCCCCAGCCCCATGCTCCAGGGTGTGTCCAGCATTCTACCCCCACCTCTGATGTCAGTGTTAGATTATAGTTCGCTGTTTATGTTTTTCAGTTTTGCTGGGGGGGGGCGGTCAGTCTGCCCAGGGGCTGCACTGGATTATTTTTCTGGGGGGTGGGGGGTGAGGGGGTGGGTAGGGGAGCTGTGCATGTGTGTGCTGCTCACCTGTTCCTTCTGCAGTTTCACACAGGCAGCTTTGGAACCAGCTGGCATCAAGAGTAATTTTTAAAATTTATTATTACCTACCAAAACATAAAGTTCCTATATTCTAATAGGAGACAGTGTGTGAGTATTCTCATTCTGGCATAAGCCATGTTTTTCAGATCTTCTCTGCTGGAATTGGCAACAGTAATCTGGACATGTCTAGTATGGACAAGTTTACAATCATAAAAATTAAAGAGCTGGATGGTGACATTCAAAGTAGAGACAATTCCAAATTAATGAGTAATTTTTTCTAGTTCTGAAATAATTATTTGCAAATGAATCAATTTATTTCATAAATCTGTATTGGAAGCTCACAATATGCTATGTTCACTTGAGCTTTCTACTATAATGTCAAACTCTGCATCTACAAAGCAGAACGTACCAGCCTTCTCCAGAAAGGGGCTCTTCCTCTGGCCTCCTCCATCTCTGTAGACAGTATCACCCTACTCTAATGATTCCAGAGGTTCTCAGTGTGAGAACAGACCTTGGTCAGTCCCTCTTTTGCTTTCCATCTCCAAAGGGTCATCAAATTGTTCTTTTCAATTTTACTTAAGCAAAGTCTTCTACCACCATCTCCCCCTTCCCATTCTTGTAGTCATAATCTTCATTACTTTGTCTGTCTTTTTCATAATTCCTTTTCATCCATCCTTTGCTAGTCATCCTTATAAACTATTGGTGACAAGACTAACATGTTTTAATTTTCACACTCTCCCTACCATTTCCCCTTTTAAAAAATCTCTGAAATAATGTAACTTTTTTCTGGTATAACCTTTCATCTGTTTCTCTACAACCACATGAAGACAATGTCCAGGGACAATGCCTTATCCATCCTCCCTCTGCCAACTAAGAGTTGCTCTGGCATATTACAGATACTCAGCATATCTGTTGAATATCTTCACGCACATACTCCTGCTTCATGCACATACTCCTGCTTTTAAAATTACTTGTTCAATATCTTCCAACTCATCCACTTGGTAGTTTACTCAAACATTATTCTTTTTCAAGACCCTAGTAGTTAAAATAATAATTTAAAAAACTTCATTCATATTCTTTTTTTAATACCTTTTCAATGAGTGTCTTAAAAGTTTTCATATGACATATGTTGGGAAAATCTATCTAATTTAATAACACTTTCCTAAATAAAGTCTTCCAATTTTTAACATATTAAAAAATTTGCCTCAATTATCTATTCACACTAACAACTGCAAAAAAGGCACACAGTGCATTTCATTATTACACATTTCAAACAAAGGTACAGAAACTGGGCACAGATTTAGAAAACTGTTTTATCAGAGGGTGATAATATTGAAATTTGTGTAACTTCTTGACAAAATAGCTGCCTGAAAGATGTGACTTGGCACAGGAATACAAAAAACTCTAAGACATAAAGAAGATTGATGAGGACAATAAGAAAGAACATTTGAAAAGCAGACTGTCCTGAAAATTGGGCTGCTTGGTTGGCCTGTCTACCTGATAAAAACAGAAAGGAGCTCTCTAAGAACCTTGAGGGAACTAGAAATCTTTCTACCACATAAAGATTAATGTGCTCCCTCCAAGATATGCAGGTGATTCTAGGAAGTTTTACATACACGATGTTTTAAAACCTTACCTTGGTTGCTGAGTCACTTAAGACTTTTTCTGAAAGAGGTAGATTTTCCAATCCTTGAAGAAGTTCTTTTGGAAATTCATCAATACAAGAAGAAGAATAGAGTTGTAAGAATTTTTTAAGAAAAAAATGCATCTCTTTTTGGCGTAAAATCAGATCAGAGTTGTAAAGGGACGTGAGAAGTGTATCATCTGGCAAAGAAATCCCAGATACTGGCGTTGTGGATGCTTGAGGAAGAAAAACACCTTTATTAGGTGTTAGGTAACAGCATGATCTCAACATTGTTCCATTTGCTCACTAACACTATCCCAACACCAGCTGGTGGCTGCCAATCACCTTCCTCCATTTTCAGAATTTATATGCTAATGGAATTGCTTCTTGCCACAAGAAGGAAAGAAATTTTCAGAGGCACATGAGGATGTTGCATCTGGTTGTAAGTATTAACAATGGCACCATGTGTTCTGTCTGTCTTATTTTGGGCTTTCCCTACAACAGATCCTAAAGCAAGAATTTGGGTGTAAGCCTTTAATCTGAAAAGAAGCACAAGTAAGGGATGGCCAAAGTGGTACAGGGGAAAAGAAATGGGCCAAGAAGGGTGAATGAATGAATGAGCTATGGCTGTGACCAATGAGGGCTCATTTCTGCTGGAATGAAAAACCATGGAGAAGAGGGCCAGTGAGACAGAGAAGCTGGGATATTGATCTACTAATCCCCTACCTCCAGGTTGTCCTGCCTACAGGCTGGGCAAGCCAGGCAGCTTCCAGAAAGTCCAGAAAAGAAAGGCTGCAGGTTATGGATGCTTAGGTAGGAAGTGGCAGCAGGTGAAATGAGAGGGGAACTGAGCTGCCTTGGGAGCCAGCACCACTGGGGCTGGCTACACTGGCTCATGCCCATGTTCTTTAAAACTTTTCTCATTCCAACCCCATCAGAACAAAACTGCTAGCCTGACACATTTCTGAGTGCCTGCCCATCCACTGCTAACTCTGGACACCTGTGCTAGGCTACCCTGCTGGCTTCCCCACCACTGGACGCTGGCACAAGTCACACTCTCTTTTCTCTTGTACTAATGAGCAACACTGAATCACCAACTTCATGGACACAGGTGAGACATAATAGCGTATGCTGCCACAAAATTATAAGCAGAATGGATATGAAGCAGATTTTACCAGTTTTTCTATATATGCTTTAGATACAGATTAAAACAACAAAAATCCCACATGAAGTAATGCACCAATACCCCTTATGAAATAAGGCACTTCTCTTCTGCATACTAGACACTGGAACACTCTCTCCTTAAAGACAAATTTCATCCTATTCCTTTCACAAGTCGTCACACCATGATCACTGGTTCTTAACCGTTCTGAGCCATGGATCACATTGGCCATCTTGGGAAGCCTTTGGATACCTCTATTTCACAATGTTTTTAAATATAGAGAGTTTTTAAGGAAAGCAATTATATTGAAATATTATTCTAGCCAAAGGTCCATATATCACAGGTTCATGGTCCAGTGAGGGCTCACTCAGAAAGATGTGAGAAGTATTTTAGAATTATAAAAAGGGATACGTTGTTTTCAACACAGAAAACCTACCTAGCAGTTTGCTCATGTTATTAATTCTTTGCAGGTGGATGTAGTAGCGTAGTAGAAGGACCCATGTGATGTCTACTTTGGTCTTCTGTCTAGTATCTGTGTTGTCACACATGTCATCATTTTGGCACAAAAAGGTACAGTCGGTCTGGAAGGCAACTTGGTAATTATCTAGAAGTAAAACGAAATGTAATACAATGCTATGCTTTCCTAGAAAAATAACAACCACGTACAGAAACAAAAGCACAAGTCAAAGGAAACACTGACACATGAGTAGATGTTCAATTTTAGAAAAATTTTTGTAATAATAACGGGGACATGAATGTAAAAAGGGGACTGTCTGGGGAGGAGGAGGGGAAGGAAAGAATACTGAGGGGTGAAGAGAATGGAAGTACACTATGTATACACACATGAAGACAGCAAAACGAAACCCACCAAACATTGAAAGAGGGAGTAAGCGGGAGCGGGGGGTAATGGAATATAATGGAGGAGTCACCCTGTCACAGTACACATGTCAAAGTGTACATGTATGGAATTATCACAATGAAACCCTTCATATTGATAATGTATGCTAAGTCAAAAACAAAATTAAATTTAAAAAATTTATCACAAAGACACTAAACACAATGTCAAAAATACAAACTGTAGACTGACGGAAGATGAATCAGTCTTCTCTATTTTGTCTAAACATCTTACACCAGCCAATAAGAAAAATTCAAGCAACCTGATTTCAACTGGGCAAGTCATAGAAAAATTGGGCAAGAATTTCAACAGGCATATCATAGAAAAAGTGAACTCAAACAAGGAAACATTTAAGCATCACTAAAAATCAGGGAAATGCAAATTAAAATGAAATGCCCTTTTACATCCCTCAGGAATTAAAATTTTAAAATAGAGAATATTAGTAATAAGTTGGAGAGACTGGAATATCCATGCACTACTTGTGAGAACCACTGCTTGGGAAAGCAGTCTGGCAGGATTCAAAAAACTAAAATGCAGGTGCTCACATATGTATACTAAGAGAATTGCTTACTGTATTCCTGGTGCCTTTGAGATATAAAAAGAAGGAAACTTTGAAAAATAAGCAGAAGTCTATCCATTTGATGCCATTTAAAAAGAATGAGCTAGATCCAAAAGGAAGAAAATGTAGTGCAGAGTCAGCTCATAACCCAACCATGCTGCTCACTAGTGTGTGAACTTGACCTTCTGTGCCTTGATTTTCTGCATCACAATTTAGCCTTAGTTAAAATGAGATCAATAAAGGTGGAAACATTTATGAGTCAACAATCAGTTCCCACTTGATAAATGGAGTATACTATCATTTATATCAATTTGAAAGGACTCAATACAATTCTTTGTGCCATTTACGTAAACACACACACACAGGACATGTGATTAGAAGAGCAGTTGTCTCTGGGGGGTGAGAAATAAGTAGGTTTTTCCATTGATAATGGCCTCTGCATGCTCTCTTAAATAATAAACTGAATCCCCAGACACTTAACTCCCATCATTCCCAGTGTCTTCTGCCTATTCCCATTTCCTTCTCTCTGCCTGTATCTGCCAGATGTAACCTCTCTCCAGAATTTTGTGTTAATAATGCCACAGCTCTTCTTTACTCTTTAAACATATATATTGTATACAATATAATAAATAATGTATTGTTAATTTTACCTTTTGAGAGCCCTGTAGGGAAAGAAATTACATGTGTTTACCCATGATTTTCTTTTCTTACTAAGATTAACTTTAAAAAAACTTATCCAGGCTGATACATGTAGCTGTAATTCATTGATTTTTTTCATTGCTGCATAGGATTCTATTCTGTGAATACAGTACAATTTATTTATTGTTGATAGACATTACGAACAAGACTGCTAAAGAACACTTGAGTATATATTATTTGGTACATAGTGCCCAAGTGGCTAGAAGTAGAATTAGTAGGCTTTTCCCCCAGTCTTTTAGCCAATCCTGCCTCTTGTTCTTCCATTAATTTTAACATTGATTCACCAAATTCCTCAAAATAAAACTTGCTGAAGTTGTTATTGAAACCACATTAAGCTTATAGATTGTATTTAGAAGAATGGGCAACTTATGAATATGGACCCTTCTTGACTATAAAGCTGTCATGTTTTCTTATATTTTTCAATAAAATTTTATAATTTTTCAATTTATAATTTTTGGTAGTCCCTAGATACTTTATCTTTGCAAAATGTGTTATCCATTAAAACATACAGAAATAAAATCTTACATCCAATAGTCTTGCTAAATGTTCTTGTCTGTAGTTTTCAGGAATTGTCTGTGTGAATAACCCACAGCAAAGGACAGCTGTTTTCTTCTTTCCCAAACCATTTCCTTATTTTTTATTTCTTTTCCTTACGTTATCATACGGGGTAGGACTTCCACAACAATTTTGAATTAAAATTCTAGTAGCATTTTTTAGTTCTGCCTTTGTTGTTATTTTTTGTATTTTGAGACAGTGTCTCTTATGTAGCCTAGGCTGGCCTTGAACTCACGATCCTCCTACCTCCACCCATCCTGGGTAGAGTTGGGATTACAGGCATGAACCACCAGGCCTGGCTTAGTGCTGCTTTTAAACTGAATAGTTCAGCATTTGAATATGGGATATAAGTGCAGTGGATTTTCCCTCACTTGTAATTTTTCCAAATAAAGGAAATTTCCCTTAATTCTAGTTGTAGACTCATGAATGGTTGTTGAATTTATTAAATTTTCTGTACCTATTTGAGATGATTATTTTTCTCTTTTAATCTGTTAATGTAGTGACTAAGTTTAATAGATGGTTCTACTGTTAATTATATTTGCATTCCTGGAAATAATCCAGCTGGACATGATATATCTTTTAATGTGCTGCTTATTTTCATCAGGCATACATTTACATGATCAAAAATAAAATTCTCTCGCCCCAGATGCAAGTATTTTTAACTACTTGTACTTAGGGCTTATTATGGTTAGTTCCAGCTCTTAAATTCCTTACAGCACTTTTCTTAAAATTATCAGGTTTAGAGAATATATTTACTGGCTTTCTCTGGGGCAGGTGAGATACTAGCTCACACAACCACTCCTCTGAACTTCAAAACTTAGTTCCCCTGACATGTATCAAAGATGTTCTAAAGCTTTCCTTCTACATGCATGAAATCTAGACAGTCTCTCCTGATTTCTCACTTTGTAATTCATAGTATCTGGACCTTCACTTCCTTCTTCTTACCAGGCTTTCAGTTTTCAAAGTTGGTAGCTTTTACATTCTGTTCTGTATCTGTAATAAACCTTCTTCAGTTTTCTCTAAGTCGAGAATCAATAAAGAATACTTAAGTGATTATGATTGCATAAGTTCTGTTGAATGTGTCTACATTTTTTTCATGAAGGGTAAATGTCATAACCTGCGACCTACAAAGGATAAAGTTCTTAGCACAAAGATCAAATGAATTATTTTTATTCAGACCAGTCTCAAAATCAAGTTATATCCTACTTCATTTCACATTTAAACCAGATTTTTTTAAAAAAAATCTTTCCCTAAAGTTTTTGAATGTCTTCACCTCGATGAGAGAAGATTTGCATTCTTCTTCATTAAACTTCTAATATCTTCCAGCCTTTTATCTCCCTAGCTGGGACTACAGATGCATGTCACCATGCCCAGGTTATTTCCATTGAGTCAGGGTCTCATGGACTTTTTTGGATGAGCTGACCTGGAACTGTGATCCTCCTTATCTCAGCTTCCAAGTAGTTAGGATTGTGGGTGTGAGCCACTAGCTCCTAGCTTCTTCTAGCTTTTCCGTTCTTCCTTCCTTCCTTCCTCCCTCCCTCCCTTCCTTCCTTCCTAAATTCCTTCCTTCCTTCTTTCTTTCTTTTTTGGTGGTACTAGGTTTTGAATTCATGGCTTCATGTTTGTTAGGTAGGTGCATTACCTCTTGAGCCACATCTCCACCCCTTTTCTCTCTGGTTCTTTTAGAGAGAGGGTCTTCGCTTTTTGTCCAGACCAGCCTGGACCACATCCTCCTGTTTTATACTTCACATAACAGCTGGGATGTCAGGGGCATCCCACCACATCCAACTTTTCTACATGGAAATTGAGTCTTGTGAATTTTTTTGTCCAAACTGACCTGGAACTACAATCCTCCCAATCTCAGCCTCCCAAGTAGTTTGGCTTGCAGGTATGAGCCACTAGCACTTGGCTTCTAGCTCTTTAATCATTCCATCTGCTGCCTAGAATCCATTTAAGCTTCTGGAGATCACAAGCTTTCCACCCTACATTGTACTGACGTGTTTCTAGGGTACTGCATAGTTGGTAACATGGAGGGCCTGCCCCTCCCTCCTTTCCTCCCTTCTCCCCTCTGTCCTTCATTCCTTTTTATCTTACATCTACTTCTTCATTTACAACCTTGGATGCTGGGGTGAGTTCTCAGTAACATCATTTTTAAAAGTTCACTAAAAGTGAACCATTTGGGTCTCTACCCAGGCCTTCATCTTGACTTGTCATTTAATTAAAGAAATTATTTTATTTAGAAAGTTACGTTGCCTTAAAACTTCAAAGGCCTCATTCTACTGCTGTTCAGCATCTATTCTTGCTGGTGAGGAGCCTGATGCTAGTCAAAGCCTGTTCCTTTCAAATTGACCTGCAAACTCACCTGGAACACTGTTTTTCTCAACTTCTCATCATCTGTGGGGATTTAGAATTTCATTTCATTTTGACCTAGATCTCTCCCTTGCTCTCTCTCTCTTTCTCTCAGTCCCTCTTCCTCTCATTTGTCTTCTCTCCTCTTCCCACTTGTCTCACTCTACAGATCTGGGCACTTGAATTGTGATTTATGACAGATGTGACCCTGCACTGTTGTGAACAAGTGTTCATTTCAATAAATGACTCTCTTTATATTATCCATATAAAAATTAATCTTGACTTCAGCTTCACTCCTCATGATTCCAGATGAATTGTAGATCTAAATGTGACAGGTAAAATAAAGATAAGAACACATGAAGGCATCTTTATGATTTTTGTGTAGGAAAAGTTTTGTAAAACCAAATTCCAAAAGCACAAACCATAAAAGAAAAGATTTATCCAGGCATGGTGATACATGTCTGTAATCCCAGCACTTGGGAGGCTGAGGAAAAGAGGATCATGAGTTCAGTCTTGGCCTGGGTGACAGAGTGAGTTCAAAGCCAAT